GTTTCCTTTGTCTCGACGTCGAAAATTTTCCATGCGTTGGAATGCTTTTCGATGCACAGTTCCCACTGTGCGCGTTGTGAGAATCGGCTGGCTCGTGTAGATGGGGGCCGGTACTGTACCATGCAGCCGAAGACCCTTAACATTTTTGTGCTGCCCAGTTTTCCTGTCCACAGCAGGTGCGGTGATGCGTTGTTTGGGAGTGACGACGACGAGAGCAAGTTGTGCAGCATGACGGCGTGGTCCATCGCTTCGGGCCATTGGTGGTTGGGCAAGTGCATGCCACGTAGCAGCTTGCGCATGGTGTTCTGGAGGGTCCTGTTCATCCTTTCTGCTACACCCTGCTGTTGATGGGCGTAGGGGAGAGAGATGAGTTGCTTGATTCCTCTCTCTACCAAGTATTCCTTGAACCTTTGTGAGGTGTATTCTCCTCCCCCGTCTGACTGGAAGCTTTTTAGTTTGACGCCCGATTCTCTTTCTGCTACTGGAAGCCAGGCAACGAAGGCTTCGAAGGCCATGTCCTTGCTTGGAAGATTTAGGTGCCAGACGTATCGAGTGGCTGCGTCGATGAAGGTGATGGTGTAGTTGTACGCGTTTTGTCTAGGCTCGCGGTTGTACAGGATATCGCTGTACACCTTCTCGAGTGGCGCGTAAGCTGGTACGCTTGGGTTGTGGTGAGACGCGAACGGTTGATGCGGTAAGTCAGCTTCGGGACAGGTGAAGCATGTTCCACTTTCTCGCTGAAGTTCTCTGCCGTCAGTTAGGAGTAGAGAGTCTTTATCGAGCACGCCTGCTCGTATCGTGTTCTTTAACACCGTGTTGCTTGGGTGTCACATTCTTGCGTGCTAGGTTCCTTCGGTTGCACGATGTCCGGGTGAGCGGCGATACATATCCGAGTTGGAATAGAAGCTGGCGGTGAAGTTGGCGCTTCGATGAACTTCTCGTGGTGCTGGGTGCAGTTGCTGCGCGGGTGTCGGTGGTGTGTCGTCGACGAGGAGTGGTGCCATTGAAGGACCAGCGATTGGTGTTGACGTTCCTGCTGCTGCCGTTGATGGTTTTGCTGCTACCGATGTTGTCTCTGTTGTTGCCGATGTTGTCTCTGCTGCTAACGATATTGTCTCTGCTGCTGCCGATGTTGTTTCTGCTGCTGCCAATGTTGTTTCTGCTGCTGACGATGTTGTTTCTGTTGCTCCTCAAGTTGTCTCTGCAGCTGCCGAATGTTGAATTGTTGCTAACGCTCTTGTTCTTTCTGCTTCAGGTATCGTGTGTGAATAACAGAAACAGCCGGGGCTGAAGTCTGGGTCAAGGTCCGATGGATGTGTCCAAGATGTGAAGGTGACGATGCCGTCGCTGTCGGCGGTGCCGAGGTCTGGAACGAAGTCGAGAACGAAGACATTGTTCTTCAAGACTGCCTTGCCGATGTAGATTCCTCCTCTCCCGTGGTACAACTTGAACTCCAGGGTGGTGCTGTCTGCTTCGAGGTGAATCCCTTTTGCCATCAACTTGCTGATGCTCAGTAAGTTGTAGCTGAGTCCCTCCGTGATTAATACCTTTGACATCTGTAGTATAACGTTTGTCTCTCTTGACTGAAGTTGGACCACGCCTTGTCGTCGTGTGCGCAGGTTCTGGTTGTTGGCGACGGTGATGACTACTTCGCGTTGGAGTTGATATTCTTGCTGCACGATGTGAAATTGAACGAGAATGAAAAGACTAAGGGAAAAATGGGTACAAGTGCAAACCCTAGAAAGCTGTACCCCATATGTGCTACCCCACTATAGCCTACAGCAGCTAAGACATATAAATCTGACAAACCGCCATAGGCAAAGTGGGGGAGGACAAGGGGTCACAAGACCAGTCAAGCAAAGCAAAGCAAGCTCAGGGTGGATCACAACGTCACCACACATTCCGAGCACAAGTTCAAGGCCACAAGGCCAGTTCACATGCAAGATTACATATATATATAAGGCTAAACAAGCAAGAGCAGGTGTGTATATATATGTAACAGTACAAACAAGGTCAAGGGGTGAGCAAGTGAGGCAAGGTAGGCACAAGAGCGAGCTGAGTACAGAAGCGCTGTTGATCACAAGGCGCAAGTGCCTTGGTGAAGATATCAGCAGTGTTGGCCTGAGAGGCCACGTACGCAAGGCGCAGCTGACCACGCTGCTATAGCTCACGAGCAAGGAAGTAGCGAAGAGCAATGTGCTTCGTTCTGTGCTCCAGTCTCTGCTCCCGACACAAGGCCAGCATGGCCTTGTTGTCTATGTACAGCACTGGAGGAGAACGAGGCGGCTCTCCGAGGTCAGTCAGTAGGTAGGTGAGCCAGCGAAGCTCCTGTGCAGCCATGGCCCCTGCGTAGATCTCAGCCTCACAACTGGAGCCGAGAACAGAAGACGAGCGGGTAGCCCGCCACGAAACAGAGCCGAAACCAAGGCTGAAGGTGTAACCCTGTGACGACCGCTGCGTAGCCTGGTCGTCAGCCCAAGAAGCGTCTGCGTGCCCAGTGAGGACCACTGGACTCTGCCCTCCAAGCACAAGCCCCATGCCCGACGTACTGCACAAGTAGCGCAACACCCTCTTCGCTGCAGCCATGTGCTCCGGTCTGTGTCTCCCAGGAGCAACATAGCGTGCGAGAATGCTAAGAGGGTAGGCAAGGTCAGGTCGTGTGCAGGTCATCAGGTACATGAGGCAGCCAACAAGCTCTGGGTACGGGCCACTCGACTCTACGGACTCATCCGAAGGCAGAGCTGAGAGCGAGTGGCGAGTAGGCAGAGGAGTGGCCTGAGGCGAGGAGTACGTGAAGCCGAAGCGCTGAAGGACCTGCTGCACCATGTGTGACTGAGTCAGGGTAATGGTGCGCTGTGCTCTGTCCCTGGTGATCTGCAAGCCAAGGTAGCTGCGCAGTTCACCCAGGTCTGTGCACGTGTGTCTCTTCTGCAGCTCGGACTTCACGTGGGCGAGTCCAGCAGTGTAAGCTGTGGCAAAGACCAAGTCGTCGACGTACACGAGGATGTAGAACGGCGGCAAAGAAGTGTCGGTGCGCAGAAACAGCGACGGGTCGGCAGTAGAGGGAGCAAACCCAAGAGCCGCAAGTGTAGTCCTCAGTGTGTCGTGCCACTCACGCGGTGCCTGGCGGAGACCGTAGACTGGCCGCCGAAGGCTCCACTGGGTGCCAGGAGGAAAAGTCCTAGTGAAGACATGTGGGCGGCGCAGCCAGATCTCCTCGTGCAGGCTGCCCTGCAAGAAAGCAGTGCTGAAGTCAAGAGAGTGTAGCTCTTCGGGGGCAGCTATGTGCAGCAGTACCCGAAGAGTGGTCATCTTCGGGGTGGGAGAGAAGGTCTGAAAGTAGTCAACTCCCTGCCGCTGACTGAAGCCACGAGCCACGTAACGCGCCTTGAAGACAGGCGGAGAACCCGGCGGCCGCTTCACCCTCAAAATCCACATGCTAGTGACGATGTTCGCCCCAGGCGGGGGAACCTCGTCAACATAGGTGCCTGTGGACCTCCAGGAAGCCATCTCTGCGTCCATAGCTGCCTGCCACTGAGAGGAGTAGGGACCCTCTATCGCCTCTGCGTAAGAGCGCGGAGTCGGGATGTCAAGTGCATCCGGGTCTCCCTCAGGGGTAAGCATTACGGACACGAGATGAGGTGAAGCGGCAGCCAAACACTGGAACTCCTTCTGCCTGTCCTCAAGGACGTCCGTGCCAAGGGCACACTCACCCCCGATGGACGGAGGACAGACAGACTTAGATGTCGCAACAAGACTAGCAGCGTAGTCTAGACGACAGCGAGCAGCAAAGTCGACGAGCTCAGCAACTAGGGCAGACGCAGCAGTGGACTCAAAGAAAGGGTCAGTGACAACACTAGCAAGGAGACGCGTGACAGTCGGATTGGCAGCATGAAGGGAGTTTGACTCTGGGTCGGCAAGAGCAGGAAGAGAGGACTCAGGAGGAGAAGGCAAAGGGCCACGCAGAGGAGCAGTGGACGGACGGAGAGACATCCGGTGCGTGCCGGGCACAGGGGGAGGACGCGGACGCGAACCACGACCACTAGCGCGAGCAGCACGGACAGGCGACCCAGGACGAGACGCAGGCTCACGACGCTCAGCAAGACCTCCAGTAGGACCAGTGTAGGGAGAAGGAGCAGGCAGTGGGAAGGCCGGCTGTAACTGTAACTGTGACGGGACAGGCTGTGGACACTCTAAGGGAGGAGGAGGACCAGTAGAAGGCAGGAGACCAAGAACCTGCTCAAGGAGAGGAACGAAGTGCGGCCGAGGCCGCGCAGCGACTCCTGACACAGCAGGGACAGCTCCAGCACCCCCAGCGGTAGCACGAGAGCCAGCAGAACCTCCAGCTCCAGTACCCCCAGCAGCTCGAGTAGCTCGAGGACCTCCAGCAGCACCAGTAGAACCCCCAGCAGGACCGCCTCCAGTAACGCCAGCGCCAACACCCTCAGCAGCTCCAGCTCCAGTCGGACCACGAGAAGACAGAGTGGCTCCAGCTCCAGTAGTACTCGCAAGCCTAGCAGCTCCACTACTCCCAATACGAACACCTCCGGGACCCGTGGCACCAGCACCCTCAGCAGCCGAAGAACCTCCATCTCTAGAAGCATGCCTCCAGCGCCGGGCAAACCACTCACGCACCTCCTGTGGAGAGAGTGGCTCCCGTCAAGACGGAGCACCCGGAGAACCTCCAGGCCCAGCAACGCCAGACGCCACACGAGCAGGCCCAGCTCCCTCAGGCTCCGCACCCCCAGGCTCAGCACCTCCAGGCGTAGCACCCCCAGGCTCAGCACCCCCAGTCGTAGCACCCCCAGGCTCAGCACCCCCAGACTCAGCACCCCCGGGCTCAGCACCCCCAGGCGTAGCACCCTCATGCTCAGCACCCCAAGGCTCAGTACCCCCAGGCTCAGTACCCCCAGGCTCAGCACCCCCAGAGTCAGCACCCCCAGGCTCAGCACCCTCAGCAGCACCAGAGTCACCAGCGACCTTGACAGGCTCGACTGCGTCTACCTGGGACATACCTGAAGGGGCAGGACCCTGAGGGGGGAGGGGGTCTACCGGGGGGGGACCTGGCACAAGGAAGAGCGGTGGCGGGGGGAGGGACGGAGTGCGGTAGGGGAAGAGACGGTAGTAGGGGACCGACTCGTCAAACGTGACGTCCTGGGAGGACAGAACACGGCGAGAGGTGGGGTGGTAGAACTGCCACCCTGGTGCGTCAGGGGGGAAGCCAAGGAAGACGCAGGGAGCAGCACGAGGGGACAGCTTGTCTGCAGACAAGTCGCGGACAAACGCCCGAGATCCCCAGACACGGAACGCAGACCCATCGCCAACCTTCCCCGTCCACAGCAAATCTGGGGAGGTCTCCGGCATGGAGACCCTTGGCTGAAGGTTGATCTAATGCGTTGCGTACCGAACCGCAAACGGCCACAGAAAATGGGGGGCAGCCGCATGCATCATGGACGTACGGGCGACGTCCATGACCATGCCAATGCGGCGCTCAGCAATCCCATTTTGCTGTGGAGAGTCCGGAAGCGTGAAGGTCGCGTCCGTGCAGTGGGTCACCCGCTGGCTCGCAGGAGTAAATTGGTGAACCTCTGCATCCTGTAGGTCAGCACCACTCACCAAGTTCGTAGAGAACGAGGGGAGGTAAAGACCTGACAGGGTGCCAGAGGGGGCCGCCGGACACGGGAGGACAGTAGAGAACTGAGCAAGGACAGGACCCCCAAAGGGGTCTGCCAGAGAGACTGCAACTGGCCGACCAAGCGGCGTGAGTGTGGTGCGGTCTCGAAAGAAGGAGCGAGAAGCCCTCGAGTCAAGGGTGAAGGTGTGGGAGGCTGAAGCCGACGCAGTTCCTGAGAGAGCAGACTCACCAGCACCTGAGGAAGCAGACGCACTGGCACCTAGAGCTTCAGCCTCGCTAGCACCTAGAGCAGCCTCACCAGTACCTAGAGCAGCAGTCACAATGCCCGGGTCGGGTGAAAAACACCGGTAACAGTCACCCTCATCACTAATAGTCACAGCATACATGGCAGCAAGAATAGCATCAAAGTCAAGGTCAAAGATAGCTACTTCCGCCCTAGACAGCTCGCCCCAGCGAGGGATCTCAGTGGCCTCAAGAAACTGGTGACGCCAAGCGTCCGTCAGGCGGCCAAAGCAGCGCTGGGTGGAGTGCGCACCCCCGCACGGCTCACCCGCACGGTTGCCGGTGCGTAGGACGTAGGTGCACGGACCAGTACCCCCACCGCGCTGGTGTGCAGCGTACCACTCACGAAGCTGCTGAGGGAGGGGGATCTCATGAGTACGCTGCTGCTGCTGCTGCTGCTGCTGCTGGCGCTGACCACCACTGGAGCCGACCCTTTGCGTAGCACCACCCGGACCAGCTCCACCTCCTCCGCCGCCGCCTCCTCCACCGCCGCCACCTCCACCACCGCCACCTCCGCCACCTCCGCTCCCACCGCCACCGCCGCCGCCGCCTCCGCTTCCACTGCCGCCACCGACGCCCCCACCCCCGCCACCACCCCCACCGCCACCCCCACCCCCTCCGCCGCCACCACCGCCGCCTCCACCGCCCCCGCTAGCTCCTCCAGCGCCCCTGCCCCCCTTGCCCTTGCCAGTGCGGCGTCTCCAACTAGGGGCAGACGCGGCACCGCCCGACTCAAGACCAACGAGGTCGGCCGCAGCAGCAGAGGCAACAGAGGGCAAGAGAGGAGAGGGGGAGCACCCCTCAAAGACAGGGGCACGAGGTTCACCACGAGAGGCTCCTACAGCGACTCTGCTCTTCTCTGCTGCTAGGAGGCGCTCCTCGAGGAGGTCAACGGTGAGGGTGGTGGGGCAAACAGAGAGGAAGTGGGTCCCTAACCGGGCGAAGGGTGTCAGGGAGCCGGGTGACTATGTAGTAGAGGGTGATGTACATAGGGGGGGGGTTCTTGGCGCAGAACTCAGCGGGAAGGGCAGCTCGGTAGCGAATGTCACTAGTGCGAAGGTGCGTAATGAGGTCAGCGACTGTGGGAAAAGCAGTGAGGTCAGGGAAGAGGTACGGCAGGATGAGGCGGCTAAGTGCAGCAGTAGCAGGGGAAGAGTAGCGTGCAACTACAGCGTCGTACAAGGTCCTAGCACTCTTGTACTGGCTAAAGTGTGCATGCTCAAAGGTAGGCAAGTGGCGACGCACAGCAAGACGTGCAGCAGCATCGCGTGTGGCCCACTGTGAGCAAACAGTGGCGTCAGCATCAGCAGCAGGGGCAGGAGAGGCACCAGAAGTGAGGTCAAAGAGGGAGAGACTGTCTGCTCTATCGCACTGTAGGAAAAGCTGCAGGTCATCTACCCAGACGTCAAAGTCAATGGCCCGACCCTCAGCGTCAAAAGCGAGGACGCTGGGGGTAGCCATGACAGCAGTAGACTATCAGCGCAAGCAGTAGGCTAAGGGCAGCGCAGTGGTAGAGGTGCCGCTCTTACCGGACAGGGCGGCTCGGGCGGCTCGGTGGTTCGGCGGCTCGGCAGCAACTGCAGCTCGGCGGCTCGGGCTGCTTGGGTGGCTCGGGCGGCTCGGCAGCAGCGGCGGCTCGGCAGCACAGCGGCAACGGCGACTCAGCGGCGCCGGCGGCTCGGTGGTGACGGCGGGGCCGCGTAGGGTGGCAGGGTTGCTGAAGGGACGGCGGCGGGGCCGGGTGGGGCGGCAACGAGGCCGCTGAGGGCGGCGGCGGGGCCGGGTGGGGCGGCGACGGGGCCGCTGAGGGCGGGGGCGGGGCCACGAAGGGTGGCGACCGGCGCCTTAAGGGTGGGGCCGCGGGGTCGCAAGGGTGGGGCGACGGGGCCAGCAGAGGCGGCGCCGGGGCCGGAAGAGCGGCGCCGGGGCCGCAAGGGTAGGTGACGGGGCCGCGAGGGCGGCGTGGAGGGGTCGCTAGGGCGGCGCGAAAGGGCCGCGAGGGCGGCGCGAAAGGGCCGCAAGGGCGGCGCGACGCGACGGGGCTGCGAGGGCGGCGGAACGGGGCCGTGTGGGCGGCGCGACGAGGCCGCGAAGGCGGCGCAACGTGATGGGGCCGCGAGGGCGGCGCGACGGGGTCGCAAGGGCGACTCGACGGGGCCGCTAGGGAGGCGCGACGCGACGGGGCCGCTAAGGCGGCGCGACGGGGTCGTAAGGGCAGCGCGACGGGGTCGTGAGAGGGGAGCGCGACTCGGGCAGAGGCTGAGCGCGCTCCGGGCAGGAAAAAAAAAATCGGTGGGCCCTAGGAACAGTTCCCATAGGGGAACCCGCTCTGTACCATGTGAAATTGAACGAGAATGAAAAGACTAAGGGAAAGTTGGGTACAAGTGCAAACCCTAGAAAGCTGTACCCCATATGTGCTACCCCACTATAGCCTAGAGCAGCTAAGTCATATAAATCTGACACACGAAGCGTCCCGAAGAGCACATGTGTTGTCCGCAGCAACTGTCCAAGAACCAGGTGTCTTTCCCGGATGGCTCGCTCTGGGCGATGGCTGCGTACGTTGGATTCGGTTGAAGTGACTCGCGGCAAGGTGTGGTGTTGTCGAGTTGTTCTTCCGGTGGGTAGTGTGGCGGTGACTCGGTGATGCAGGAATCGGTCAATTTTGCCATGCAGCTGACGATGTTTCTTCCTCCTTGTGCAGGTTGTGTTGTTGAAGGTTGCGACTGACTCGTGGGGTTCGCCTGCGTTGATGCCACTTGGCTGCTTGAGGGTCGAAGCTGCCGTTGCGGTGGAGTTGACTGTTGTCGATTCGGGCAGTGTGTGCGTGGGTGCCCTGACGTCTTGCAAATGTGGCAGAACGGAGGTACGGGCTTCGGTTGTTGTTTGTTGTTGTTGTAGCGTCGCTGAGTGTGGAATGCAAATTCTGGTGCTGATGTTTTCTTTTTGTGTCGTTCTTCTTGCAGGTCCATGTCTTGTTGCTCGGCATGGATTTCGGCGCAGAGTGCTGCTTCGGAGATTCTTCCGTGGGCTCGGAGAATGGCCTTTGTGGCGCGCCATTGAGGACCGAGGCCTCCAATGATGAGTGTCACGAAGGCGTCTTCAGAAATCGACCCTCCGCATCGAAGAAGCTTGTCGCGCAACTCGCGACATCGGCTGATATACGCCATTCCTTTCTCGCCTGGTTTCATTTCGACCGTTGTGAGTTCTGCCATTAACCGACTTTGATTTACGCTGTCTGTTGCTTGATACAGGCTCTTCAAGTGGTTGTATGCGAGCTCCGCGGAGTTGCCGTAACCCCGGTAAGACCGTATATTCTGCTGTTGAGTCGGGGTGATGTTCCTCAGTAGAATCGTGTACGCCATCATCGACTGATAGGTGTACTGCTGCTTCTCATACTGTGTGCCGCTCGTTGGATATGGCAGGGACCCGTCGAAGAAGCCAAGTATCTGCGCGCCTTCCATCATCAACTCGAATTCAAACGACCAGGTGAAGAAATCCTTTCCGTCGAAAGGCCTTGAAGTCTGAAGTTTTAAAACGTGCGCGAACTGCGACTGAACTTGAAGTGCGTCCAGTGGTTTCTCCTGTCCAGGTGCAGGCTGCGGTTGTGGCATAAAGCTGACGGAGCCGCGCTTGGGCTCGTATGGAGCAAAGGTAGGTTGCTGCTGTTGATTTCCATGTGCGTAGGATGAACCGTCAAGGCTCATTGGAGTCACGTCGTTGTTGCTGTTGTTACTGTTGTATGACTGCGCAGGTACCGATTGCTGGTGTTGCTCGTAGAAGGACATGAAGGAGAAAAACTTCTCCATCATGCTCTGGTCAAAGCCTGCAGATTGATTCGCAGGAGACTCGTTGGATGTTGCCCTGGGTCTTGTTGCCGTACCCTCCTCTGTCTGTAGGCCAGAGGCAGGAGGTGGAGTAGGAGTAGTGCCGGGAGAACCAATAGAGGAACTCCTCTCCTTCTGAGTAGCCATGTCTTCTGTTGTTGTAGGTGTTGTGGTAGTTGAATTCCCCCTGATAGCTCTCATACCATGTTGGGCTGAGAAAAGCCCTTAGGATCTTTGCAGGGGTGAACTCTGGGTAAGACTGATGTAATAGCGGAAGCGTTTAATGAAGTACTGTGAACCACCTTGCGCTAGTATGTGAGGGCAAAGTAGATTGATTAAAGCAAGGAGATACAAGATTATATAAGAGTACAAGGAATACGAAGAAATGCATGTCAAACATTATATATGTTGTGCTTGTTTAGGCTACAGTGGGTTAGCCTATAGGGGGTACACAATTCTAGGGTTAGGTACTTGTACTGATTTCACTGTTAGTTCAATCATTCCTGTTCATTCATTTCAACATGGTATCAGAGCAGGTCCTTCCTAGGACCGATTTTTTTTAGGGCCCACCACTACCTACCTACCTACCTGCGCCCTAGGGCGCCTCGGTTTTCACGGCCCTCTAAGGCCCCGCGACCCGCCCCTTAGCGACTCGCGCGCCGCCCCTTAAGGCCCCGTCGGCCCACGCGCTCGCCCTTAGCGGCCCCTTACGGCCCCGCGCTCGCCCCTAGAGGCCCCAATCGGCCCCGCGCTCGCCCTTAGCGGCCCCTTACGGCCCCGCGCTCGCCCCTAGAGGCCCCGAACGGCCCCGCGCTCGCCCTTAGCGGCCCCTTACGGCCCCGCGCTCGCCCCTAGAGGCCCCAATCGGCTCCGCGCTCGCCCTTAGCGGCCCCTTACGGCCCCGCGCACGCCCCTAGAGGCCCCGAACGGCCCCACGCTCGCCCTTAGCGGCCCCTTACGGCCCCGCGCTCGCCCCTAGAGGCCCCGAACGGCCCCGCGCTCGCCCTTAGCGGCCCCTTACGGCCCCGCGCTCGCCCCTAGAGGCCCCGATCGGCCCCGCGCTCGCCCTTAGCGGCCCCTTACGGCCCCGCGCTCGCCCCTAGAGGCCCCGAACGCCCCCCCCCCCCAGAACGAGCCGCCCGACCCGAGCAGCCCGAACCGAGCCACCGTGCCCGAACCGAGCCGCCCAGCCCGAACCGAGCCGCCCGAACCGAGCCGCCCGAACCGAGCCGCCCAGCCCAAACCGAGCCGCGCCGCCCGAACCTAGCCGCGCCGCCCTTCCCGAGCCGCGCCGCCCTACCTGAACCGAGCCGCGCCGCCCTACCTGAACCGAGCCGCGCCGCCCGTACTGGACCGAGCCGCCCTACCTGAGTCGCACTGCCTACTGTTTTTGGGGTGCCCCTACTGCTATTACTCCTACTACTGCTATGGCTAGCCCTCCTGTACTGGCTTTCGATGCTGAGGGCCGCCCAGTGAAGTTCGAAACCTGGCTAGATGACCTACACCTCTTCCTACAGCTCACTGCCAAGGAGGACATCTCACTGTACGATCACGCCCTAGGCCATGCTCCTGCTCCTGCTGCTACTGCTGACAGCACTTCCCGCTCACAGTGGAAGACTCGTGACGCCCACGCTCGCTTCGCTATTCGCAACTCCCTGCCGATAGATGAGCGCGAGCACTTTGGGCAGCACAAGACTGCACAGGCACTATACACTGCTGTCGTTGCCTGCTACTCCTCACCGGCCTCTGCTGCACTAGGCCGTCTCTCTCTTCCCTACCTGTTCCCCGACTTAGCCTCTTTCCACACAGTCGCTGACCTCATTACGCACCTCCGCACTAGTGAGGCTCGCTTCCGCACCGCCATGCCTGATGAGTTCCTTGCCAAGAACCCACCCCCGCTCTGGCTCACCCTCTACCACCTAGTCACCCGCCTCCCTGACACTCTGCGCTCAGTCAGGGACCACTTCCTAGCTCGCTGCCCCACTGAGCTCACCATTGCCCTCCTCGAGAAGGAACTCCTTGCAGCTGAGGCTAGCATAGTCGCTGTAGGTGCCTCTCGTGGCGACCCCCGTACCCCGTTCTTTGAGGGGTGTTCTCCTTCCCCCCTTCTTCCCTCTGTCGCCTCTTTTGCTGCTATCGACCTCCTTGGTGCTGAGAAGGTCGGGACTGCGTCTGCTTTGAGCGGGCGCCGCAGCGGCAAGGGCAAAGGGGGCAAGGGCGGTGGCGGTGACAGCGGGGGAGGCGGTGGTGGGGACGGTGGCGGCGGTGGGGGTGGTGGCGCGACTGGAGGGGCTAGTGGCAGCGGTGGGGGTGGTGGCGGCAGCGGCGGGGGAGGTGGCAGGGGCGAAGGCGGTGGTGGGGGTGGCGGTGGACGCGGCGGCGGCAGGGGTTGGGGTGGTCGAGGAGGTGGCGGCGGTGGTGGTGGTCGTGGAGGCGCTGGAGGTGGCCAGAGCCAGCAGCACACTCCGTCGCCCCATGAGGTCCGTGAGTGGTACTCTCAGCACGGGGGGGGGGGGGGGGGGTGGCTTTAGCTGCACGTACGTCATTCGCACTGGTGACCGCACTGGTCAGCCGTGTGGGGGACCGCACGCCACACAGCGCTGCTTCGCTCGTCTCAACGACGCTTGGCATGTTCAG